AGAGCCACCTCCTGCATCTCCTGGCAAGGGCAGTGCCAAGCTGGAAACAAAACTTGGCGTCCGTACGACGCTCCTTTTGAGCCGTCGCACTTCTGCTCCCTTGGCGTTGAGGGAAGGAGGTTGTTCAGGGGAACGTCATTTCAGAGGGCGATCTCTACCTCTGTGGTGAAATGCACGTGCCATGAGATGGAGCTGCTGCTCTGGTAAAGGTTCCTTATGGAGCTGCAAGAGTTAGGGGATTTTTTTTATTATTATTATTTTTATTATTCTTCCCCTCTTTCCTGAAGTCAAGGAGCGCTCATGAGTGCCGGTGCTCCCACAGCTTGACATGGCCCCGACGGCCACCTCCTGGGGCCGAGCCCACCTCCCCTTTCCCACCCCAGCCAGCGTGGCCTGCCCGCCAAGACGCACGTTGCCCTTTGTTTTCGGCTCCACACCTAGTTTTTTGCGTTGCATGGCGCAGGGCTGGCTACTCATCTGTAATTCAAAAGAAAGCAATGACTCACGAGGCTACAGCGCTTTCCAGGGCAAAGTATTTCATGCGTTTTGCAGGCACGCTACCCCGTGTTATGAAATAACCTCTAATTTTGGCCCGTATCCTCCCCACTGGCATGTCCTTTGCTAAACCAGAGAGCCGGTGCTTCCACCCGGCGCACAAAGGGGATTTCTGCCCAAATCGGGCATTTGCCTTGTGCGAGGAATGGAAAAAGCCGTCCCCGTGTAACTTCTGAGGACCTCGCTACCCACTGGCGTCAGCCCAGCCGTGCGGTATCCGCGGTGTGTTTTAATTGGGAGGTAACAAAAATCTAAAGTTTCACTATCGCTGATAAGGCACTTGGAAAGGGGCTCGAAGACCAGCAGAGCCTCGACTCCCAGCCCCTCGCATCCCAACCCCGTGTCCAGCGTAGAGGACACCAGGAGGTGTCTCCCAGCCCCTCGCATCCCAACCCCGTGTCCAGCGTAGAGGTCACCAGGAGGTGTCTCTCAGCCCCTCGCATCCCAACCCCATGTCCGGCGTAGGGGACACCTGGAGCTGGAGCCCTCCCAAGAGCAGTCGGGGAGAGGGGGTTGCAAATGGGCTAAAAAAGGGGGAGAAGTGCCTTTGGACAACAAGGCAGCTTTAGGGCTGCATCCTCCATTCCCAGGCCAAACTGGGATGGAGCCTCTCTTCTCCCTGGGTTGGGGTGGTGTTTCCCGTAGCCACACAAGATGTCCACCCCTCATTGCCTGTCCCTCCAGCCTGCCTGATCCCGCCTGTCTTTCCCCTCCGCAGGATACCGGAGACAGCGGGTCCCTCAAAATTGTGCACTTCGGGCTGGTGTGACCCCCTTGGTGGCCAAAGCGAAGGAGGGGAAACCTCAACAAGGTGGCCAAGTTCACGGGTAGTCCTCCACCCAACTTCCAGCCGGCCCTGGATCCGACCACCAGCAGAAGGCAAAACACCAGGCTGAGCAAAAGCGCTGCCCTTGGA